GCTGGGGCTTTTTTAGAGAATTAAAAATATTGACTCTTCCTTCCTTATTTATATTTGAATCCGTTTGCCTAATACGTAAACATGTATCAGCTTCTCAAGAAAGGCCATCTCACACTTATCCACTCAGGAACGCGGAGCAAGATCTTTATTTACCTACCCCACGCCAGAGTTAAATTATACATATGATTCTCATAAAATATACAGGGTATTCCATTTAAATTAAACAAGTTATTGCCGTTTAAAGCTAGTAATTATTTAAAATAAATTTTTAGACACTCTGTATAAGGTAGTATAATTTTTATTATTGCAGCACAATAACTGATCAATAAATAAACTTCAGTAAATATTTAGTATTAAAAACTTTGATAGCCTCGGAGAAATGAAGCCTTAAAACTTATACTGTAATTTTACAAAATTGAAAATATTTCAAAAACGGTAAGGCTTAAGTGTAATAAACCTTAATCAAATTTACCTTTATTTTAATCGTAGAAACTAAAAATGTAATAATATACAGGATGTTCCATTTAAAAAAATACAACTTTGGTATTTTTTATTTATTTGGGACACTCTGTATCTGTAAAAATATTTTTAAATTGTAGCTCTAATAGTCCTTCAACGAACCCCCCAAACTTACAATTTGTAAAAATCTCATCGTTTAGCTACAATACTCCGTGTCGTATGTGGTGAACAACCCTGTATTATTATTGTTTATTGACATTTACTCTAGTAGAGATAGTGTTAAGTTCTGAATTGATCCAACACTCAATCTGGAATGGGAATCCTCCAACGGTTTAAGACACTCGAAAACATTTTTCAGGATTTACGACCTAGAAAAATCAAAGATTTTCATTGATTTAAGTAAGAACAATTTTTGGATTGTCACGAGGTCAAAGAGTAGAGACGAGGTTTTAACAGGACACTGTCTTCTCAATATAAACACCTCAGTAGATTGAACTTATGAAATAACGGCGAATGCAGATTCTGTAGAGAAAATGGGGAAGTACTGAATACTGAGTGCGCAGAGACGACAACCAATTTTGTCATAAACTTTGGTACGAAATCAGGCAATTATTTGCCAGAGGTTAATAACATCCTTATAATTCCCTTGATATAGTCTGTGAAACGAATAACTTTGAATTTGAGAGTTCCCGCGCGCTTTTCTAGTGTTAATTTTATTAGGTTAGCAACTTGCGGCCATGCCTTTGAATAAGAAGACTAATGAAGGAGCATATCAAAAATCTTAGTTCCACCGCGATGGGCCTCAAATATGGCCGACTTAAATTCCGGTTTATCAGTGTCGTTCTAATTTTATTTAAAAAATGTAAAACTATGATGTAGGGTAGACGTGGGGTAGACTCAATAATTTTTCTTTATTTTACGTTGTGAATAAATGTTGGTAGTTATTAAAATTGTTATAAAAATATAAAATTCTAATAAAAATAAATAAGTTATAATAATTATTTATTAACACAAACATCCGATACACTCGATTTTTGCCGAGATCTACCGCACGCTACCCAACCGACTATTTTAGAGTCTTTTTCGATAAATCGCGATAGGGTCACTGTTAATTTAAGTTCTGCCACAATTTCCATCTAGATTTACTACTTTTATACAACTATCAGTAGTAGAATAAATAATAAATAACATAAAATAAGCTCCGTAAAGACTGACAAATCCACAAAATTTCAAATCAAATTCAAATGTGTCAAATGAATCGTCAAACAGAACTGTCAAGAATCCCCACCCTAGAGTCCTTTTTCCGCCCACCATGCATGAATACATGGATAGCATTCATTGATTCCTTCCTTAGTCTTCTATTCAAAAATTCCTTCCTTAGTCTTCTTATTCAAAGGGCCATACTGACGCAATGCCGTCTCTAATAGAACAGCCTCGGAGCGAGATTTATGACGTCACGCTAGTTAGATACTACGGATTAATAAATATGTTGTAGAATACATGGAAAACATAATTATTCCTCGTATTTTTGCTTTGTATTTTAAAAATGATATAGTTTACATGAAATATATATAATATACAGTTAATAACTTTTTTAATAATATTAAATAATATTAATTTATTATTATTTATTGTTTTTGTTTATTCTTAATATTTTGTTTATTTTTTAAAATTATTATTCTTAACACTAAAACTATCTACATTGATTATGGCTGAAATCGTACTCCATCCTAACCTAAATCCCAAGAAAATAAAAAATTTTAGAATAATTTTACATATAAAATGACAGCGATCTTTATTTTATAGCCATCGCTTCTTGATATTGATATTTAATGTTATTGTATTATTTGCAAATATAATTTTTCGAACATTGATACTTGCACAATATACGTATAAATTTTGTGAATGCAAATAATAATACATCACTATTAGTAGATATTGAATGTTTTTTGTTAAATTAGGTCGATTTTCAAACCCCAAAATTTAAAATATATTTTACATTTTACTCATTATCTTATGTACCTATTCATTATTTGTATATTGTAAATCATTTGCTGCATTTGTATGGTTTATACTATATTTGCCAAAGTATTTATTACTATAAATAGGTATATATATTGTATTTATTAACTGTATATTATGTATATTTCATGTAAACTATATAATTTCATCAACCAAAAATACGAGGAATAATTATGTTTTCCATGTATTTTACAACATATTTATTAATCCTCAATATCTAACTGGTGTGACGTCATAAATCTCGCTCCGAGGCTGTTCTATTAGAGACGGCATTGGTTTGATATTTAGAAATGTCAAAAGCTGATGACATTTTACTTTTTGTAATTATGACATTTCGTGTTGATTTTTGCAAGAAGAGGAAGAACTGTCACTTGTTTTATTAGTTTCCTTTTTTATTTCACGAAAGTAAAAAGAGTTACCTATCTGATTCGTTCAGGCACTCAATTTAAAGAATATCAGTAAATTTTTTGGTAGAGGGATTTTATATTTACCATGTTGGTAAAAAATAACGGTCAAAATTCAAAGTTATTCATTTTATAGACTATACGTAAAAACCTATTTTATAATAGCATCTACCCAATTCAACTATGTTAAATTAAATTTGATTATGTGCATGTCAGCTTTTATTAATTTCTCTATCTAGGAACAAACATGCAAATACCAAGATATTCTTCTTCTTTTAGACCATCTTTCGAACTGCATATCTTCTTATCATCCTTCCGTGTTTTTTCTTCGTTGGGTCCTATCGAAAATCAATTTCGGCCCGAAATTGAAATCTTTGTGTCGTCGAAAACGGCAGACGAGTGGATCCTGCGATATCTGATCCGATTATGCCTGCAATCGCCCGGCGCAGCCGAGTAGAACAATGATTTTTATTAAAGGAGCCGCCATTGTGCCAAAGGCATTATCCATAACTCCAGAAATGGAAAGGTTAAGGTGTCTGACGAATGGAGAAGGAGATTCGGATGTGATGCGATTTAGACTGGAATGGAGAAATTATTATTTACTTTTCGATATACAGAATGTCCTAAACGATTGTATAGGAGGGAATCACGTCACAAGGAAGTTATGACTCTATTTATGGTTAGCGTCACCAAGATGATATGTTAGTAATATATGGCAATCGCTTGTATGGCAATCGCTTCTTTCATAAATAAACATAACATGCGTAAAATTTAAAAATAATCATACAGAAAGTTTGGGGCTTTTTGGTTTTACTTTATTAAGTAATTGTTATCAGGTAGTAATTGTTAATGAAGTTTTACTTGATATAATGTCATTTTAACAGAACGTCAACGGTTTCTTGTAGACGTATCTATTTTAAAAAACTACAGTGTTCTCGAATAGTTGAATTTAAATATTTTAAATAGTTTTTTTTCTTTATTCTTTGTATTTTTTTGCTTCCGTCGACGGAAAGAGATAAACTTTCCGAAACGTTAAACATTTTTTTCTTTGTTAGGCAAATCTGTATAACTGTAAACATAACTTCTGACAAGTAGTTTCCGTTTGGGTTTAACGCAGAAGTGTTTACAAAAAATAACTATTTTATTTTGTAGATTTTCTTGCAGTGCAGTGGTGTGATGCAGCCCATATAGGATTTTTGGAGAAGAATCCGCCACATAGGTATAGATATTTTTTAAGCTTATATTAATTCAGTAAGAAATAAATACTGTTAAAAACTGAACATGAAAACCTATAAAGTAACATTAATCGATCTAAGCGAGTAAATAATGCATATAAAAATCTCGAGCAACACCTAAATCAAGAAGGAATACAGGAAAACAATAACACTATACCATTTTTATGTCCCTTTCCCGATTTTATACACGGAATTTACCCGGAAAGTGCTTTAAATCTGGCCAAAGCCGGACAACGTTTTATCAAAACCCGGTTACATTAAGTCTATATCGCCATTCGCTGCTCTGTTTTTATTTAGGACAGGCGAAATAAAATAATGAAATACTTCTAGGTCGTGAATCTGAAAAATATCGCTAGAAGAAGGTTTAAATTTTATACTAAACAATGCATAATTTATCAGTATCTCATATACATCTTGTTGTTAGTTTTTACTATGAGTCTAGAATGTAGAATGTTTAGGAGGAGGGTTAATCACCGCGACCTTATAGATCTATTGTGTCCCCCTTTCTTGAGTTATAACGCATCATACAGTCTCAAGGCTTTGACAAAAGCCACTATCTGAGACCGTTTTACAGAGGTTAGTTCCCACATTTCCGATATCAGACATACTAAAGTTTAAATAACCAACACTAATGGTTGTCGGTCTCGCCGCAGTTAGAGATGAGGTGTTCTGGTGTTTCCCCATTTTCCCCACAGACTCTGCATTCATCGATGATTCTTAGCTTCAATTTACTGAGATGTTCATTGAAGAGACCTGTTATAAACCCCGTAACAATTCAAAGTTTCTGCTTAGTTAAATCAATGAAAATCTTTGATTTTTCTCGATCGTAAGCCCTGAGAAATTTCTTTGAGTGTCTTAGACCATTGGAGGATTTCCATACCGGGTTACGGACGCAGTCCTCCAGATCCTTCAGTTCTGCTATAAGTTCGTTTCCACTTGGGAAGCCTCCACTTGGGAAGACCAGTTCTGGTTCAGTTAGTGGATCCATGTAAAGCGTTCTAGCTAGATTATTTATTTTTTCATTATCTTCTAAATTTTAAATAGATAAAAAGTTTATTTTGTCCAGATATATCACTCCTTAAAATACTTGCACTTATTTAAAATACACCTTTTATAATATTTAACCCTCAACTGGTGTAGAGGCGTCTAGCGAACCCCAAGTACTATTTAAACCTCTGTAAAATGGTTACGTTTAAGAATTAGGCCTAGCCGCGCCATTTACCTTAAGTTAGGGTACCAATATGCAACTGTTAAAGGCGCACTTGATTTTATGAAGTATTGTTTCTACCAGCGGGGGCTAAAGTTTCGTAGGGTCTGTGTGACACCACCACGCCAAGAATGTTTCATTATTGGAATGGTGGATAGGGTAAAAAGTGTGCCTCACTGGGACGCTAATTTTGAGGAAGCATTAATGTTTTACGAACTTAAAGAGGCTTAAGTGAGATGAAGTTCATCGAGACATTGTTTTTTCTCCGAATAGTAACCATAACTCGGATTCTAGATCTCTTAATTATAGAAGAGAGAAAATTGAATAATCAATACCAGAAAAGAAAGAGATGTGGTATACGGCAACCATATGACAATGAAGAAGTGTCAAAAAACAAAAATCTCATGAATCAAATGTGCACGATCCATGTGCGGCAAATGCAGATACTATATTAGCATGAACTGTACTTGAAAAAGTTATGTACATTCAAGGTTTGCAGAAATAATTTATGTTTATTACTTTAGCTTCACGTTTCAGTTGTTTATACTTTTAATAATACGGTAAAATCATAAAATATATATGTATTTAATTTCTATGGGTTTCTTAGACAAGTCATATTTCTGTTGTCAAAAATTCCTAAAAAATGCGTTTTACTTTATTTTTGTGCCCGTTCTTATCAATTTGTTGAAAATTAATAAAATTGTTTGTTCACAAGTTTGAATATATTGTAAACAATGTTAAAATATAACAAGCTTTTTATAAAATCTCTTCATCATGTATTTTTAACTGAAAAAAAGATGGGGTCCGTCGGACCCCAGCACGCCGTAGGCCTTAGAGAAATTCGCCACGCCCAGTTGAGGGTTAAATATACCACACAGTGGGATAAATTCTTCTCAACAAACAGTCCTGTCATTATTTTCGATCTCCTTTTATGCGTAAATTTTCTTCCAAATTTTCAAGACAAAATTATACATTTTCAAGAGAAATGTATAATTTTTTTTCCAGCGAAATTTTCATTCGATATAAAAACCTAAATCCGCTTTCCCGTTGTAGTCTTGGTGCTTCTTCTCACTCGTCTTCACGAAATAAAAAGGCAAAGCAAGGCAAGAAATGATGGAAAAAGGACAAGGATATTAAAAAGCCTCTTTCTTGGCGCCCGAGGGCGAAACAGTTAGTAGACTCGAAACGTTAAATAAAATATCCCGGCTTATCTGTGATAACGCCGAAATAATAAGTTTGAAGAGCAAAAGAAAGAGAGGTTGAGGAACGAGAGAGATAGACGCGGTTTCGTGGATTTAATTTGATTGTGCGTCAAAAAACAAACCTAGAAAAAAAAATAAAAAAGTTTTTCCTCTTGTAATGACAATCCGGGACATACTGTATATATTTTATGATTTAATTACACACGTATAGTTTTCAGATTTTTCACTATACTTCTAGTATAAGGCGGTATTACATGCCACATTTCATAGATCTAGGTCAACGGAAAATATTCTAAAAATTTTGATTTCCATGAGAGTATCGAAATATAAATTTTTTGAGGCATAAATCGTATCTTTTTAGGGTTCCGTACCCAAAGGGTAAAAACGGGAACCCTATTAATAAGACTTCGCTGTCCGTCCGTCCGTCTGTCACAAAGGTCTATCTTATGAAAAATCCAAATATAGTTTGAAAGAGCATTTGAATCTGCTTCGATTTATTTTAAAAAATACTTTGAAATAACAAAGTTTATATATAAAATACATCCTTAAAGTAGATCAGCAACTTTTGATAGCCCTGTATAAATTTAAGGAAGCAATACCATTTTTCAGTAAAGTTTATTTCTCGAACTTTAAACTCAACATCAGAATTAATTGTGAAAAGTAATGTACAGGGTGTTAATAATCTATTCTATTAGCATGCAAATTTAAATATCTCTAAATATATCAAGAACCAAAGATTTTAGACATATTTAACCTTATAATAAATGCCCTTTTTGGGCCAAAGAATCCAAAAATGAAATAAAATACCGGGTGTTCCATAAGAAAAAATATAACTTTGGTATGGATCTTAGTCTGAATATACACCCTGTATATTTCAAAATAATTTTAAATTGTACACATTGTCTCCCACATATACTCACATCTTTCCGTTTTCGTATAATAAACCGAGACGAATGAGGTGCGCCACCCTGTATAATAATACTCGATGGCGGCGGATCGGCCAGCGCGATCGTAGCCCGATGCTAGGCAGGAGTGGGAAGTGCCAGCCGTATGTTACCTGTCCCGGACCAAAAGGACTGAGATGAACTAATTAAAAGACTAGTTCACGGGAATCTATTCAGTCGCCAGATCCGAAAATTGTCGTGCATACTGTTTTTGATTTTTAGGTTGTTCTTTGAATAATTTATGGGAATGTTTCACTTTAGGTCCCTAAAAATAAGAAATATCTTGTAAAACTAAGTAGATATTTCTGAATTTTTAGACAAAAACAAAAAGCTTGAAGAGAGGGAAAATGCAATTTTTCGTAAAATTTTCGTATTATTTGCTCCAATTGATTTATGATATAGTTTTTTAAACTCTGACTTGAGTTTGTAATTTTTTTATCTGCAATAAAACTTGCCTATATGTTTTTAACTATATGTTTTTAACTATATGTTTTAACTATATGTTTTTAACTATATGTTTTTAACATACGCATCTTACGATGCGTAAGATGCGTTACGCGTCTCATTATATTTCGTACATTATAAAAATTATACAGATTATACTGTAAATAGTTCTGACTGACAACGAAACCCATTAGCAAGGAACATTGATGTCCATGTTAGTCGAGAACTATTGTAAACTGAAGACCTAGTTCAAGGACCTATTCCTCCGGAGGAACTAGATCTGAGGAACTAGTTCCTCCCAAGGAATTAGAATTCCGACCTCTATTTTGAGGTACAAAAGACTAAAAATGGATATTAGTAGAAGAAGAATTTAATACTATATATTTTAAACGAACTGTGCCTCTTTTATATTTTGAACTGTCTATTCTTTTATATAACATTGGAATTATATCTACGTTTAAGGAAAAAATATGTTCGACTTAAAAAAGACACTTGTGTTGTCGAAATATTGTCATATAGAAATAAATTCTTAAATATTATTAACATAATTTAAATCTTACACAAAAAATAACGACCTAAAGCTAAGAAAATTTCACCTAAAATATCAGTATAATTGAACTGATGTCCAACATTTTGGAGGAAACTCTATACAACACCTACTTTCACTCTGAAAAAAAAAAATCAAAATGGAAAAAATAATTAATCAATCCTTTCGTTTTCTGTGTCAAAGTGGCTTTGAAATTAGAAAAATCCACCAAACCCTTCGACGTACACAAAATAGAACCCTACCTACGTCACAACAGCCCTTTCTTATCTAACTTCTGCCGCACCCTGAAGTTTCACCCCCGTCGTGTAATTAATTTGGTGCGATTTTTCATCGGCCCTTTGTATATACTAAGCGAGGCCCGCTTGACTTGTGAAATTTTCACCTTTATAGAACTCACACCTAGAAGTCGTAAGTGTTTTTAACTTAATTAAATGCAGTGGCTGAACCCCCAAATTTAATGCCTTTTCTACAGAAAAAAAAACAATTTAAATTTTATCATCATCTCTCAATAATTCTATTAATTTCAAAAACAATTCAACATACCGGGTGCGTCTCAAAAGTGGCTCACCTCTATAACTTTTTTATTTTTTCAGATAAAAAAATTTTGTGCTCATGTAATCAAAAGAGTTTGCTCAAAACGAGTAATTTTTGGACAGTATATTTAATTTTTTGATTAAATGTGAGAGACGATAAGATATAGTGAGTGGAGAAAGACGTCCCAAGTAGCATAGGAAGGAGAAAAAACCATTGACCACGGAAAATTAACCACTATTTGGTTGAATTGTACTTATACTTAATTTAATAAATTTCTTGTAGGGAATAAAGTGCGAAAAATCTAAAAATGAGGTCGTAAACTATTTAATAACAACCTAAAATTCCCAAGTAGCATTTGGACGTTATCTAACGTCGGGTATACGTCGCGTTCAATAAACCCGACGTCGGGTACCAACGTCGGTTCGACTTGCACCTAAATGAGGAATACAGATTCGGGTCGCCTCGACGTCGGTATCTGACCTAATAGGGAATGTAATTCTACCAGTTACCAACGTCATATTACGTTGGATTTTAGTTACTTAAAATTCGTCGCTAAGCACTTACATTACGTTTGGTTTCATATTCGCTACCAAGAGTACATAAAAACCTAACCAAACTACCTAATTACAAATGGATTCATAATCACTCCTCGAATAGAACTATAAGTGCCTATCTAATTTCATATTATAATAATTCTGAATCATTAATCCAGACATCAGTTTTGTCAACGGAAGTCACTTTCTTGATATATTTGATTAAAATACTCCGGAAAACAACGAGCGCTTTCAAAATTAGGTAGATTTATGAAATAAAAATATCTATAAAAAAGTAACTCACAATTTTTTTTTTATTTTCTAGCTGGTTTAATCATAAAACTGTACTGTGGTTCCCCCCAAACTCAACCTTATCGATATTATTCTACTAGAAATCGAAATGTTAATATAAATTTTAAAAACAAAAAACGATTTTAAAATGGCTGACAATCGGATACGTGTTAAGAATGGCGGATTTCTGAGTCCGACTTAATATGAACTACCAATATACCAATTCCGACCGGGTCTCCAACATTAGTCGTCTCACACGACCGAAGTCATCAAACCGGAAGACCGG